AAAAAAAAAAAATACAATTTATAAAATAGCAAGATTGTTTAATATGGAATAAATAGGAATCTTGTTCTATTTAGTGCTTGATATTATGCTGCTGCAAAATATTGAACTGTTTTAATAGTGACTTTGAGAAGTGTGATACTGTGGAGTAAGGGACCAAAGAGCACCAGAAACTACATATGGAAAATAACCTTGCCAGGCACAATGGTGCAAACTTTTAATCCCAGGTACCTAGAGGCTGAGGAAGGAAAACCTCAAATTCAAGGCTAGCCTTTGCAACTCAGCAAAAGCTTGTATCAAAAATAAAAAGGACTAAGAAAGTAGTCTAGCAGTAGACTGCTCCTGGGTTCAATTCCCAGTATAGAGGAATAAAAAAAGGAATCCTGGGCTATAGCTCAATGGTGTAGATCCTAAGTTCAATCCCCAGCACTGCCAAAAAACAGAAACAAAAAAAAMCCCTAAATCTTCTCATCTTTTTATGTATGATGTTGGGATAAACTCATATTTTACTACAGTAATTAACATGTTTGAAGAAAAATGACAGTTATTTATCTCTTACCATTGGTACTAATGCATACAGCTTGATCGCGCTGCAGAGAGTCATATCCATTCTGCTTCTCTGCACATACTCCTATACTATCTCTTCTGTCTGGCTGTCCCACAGTTTCAACTCTGTAAATGAGGTAGAAAGGTTATTTTGTCTTTTTTTTTTAATAACAAAGTATCAAAAAGCTACCATTTTTTTWAAACTTTATTTATTTTTATGTGGTGCTGAGGATCAAACCCAGTGTTGYAATTGCAAGGCGAGTGCTCTACTGCTGAGCCATAACCCCAGCCCCATTACAGCTACCATCTTAAAGAGCAATTTTGGGGGCTGGGGATATAGCTCAGTTGGTAGAATGCTTGCCTCGCATGCAGAAGGCCCAGCACCATTAAAAAAAAAAAGGGGAACAATTTGAGGGGGCTGGGGTTGTGACTCAGTGGTAGAGTGCTTGCCTAGCACATGTGAGGCACTGGTTTCGATCCTCCACACTATATAAAAATGAATAAATAAAATAAAGCTATTGTGTCCAACTATGACTAAGTATGTATATAAAAAGAGCAACTTCGGGCTGGGGTTTTAGCTCAGTGGTAGAGTTATTGCCTAGCATGCATGAGGCACTGGGTTCGATTCTCAGCATGGAATACAAATAAATAAATAAAGGTCCATTAACTACTCTCTCTCTCTCTCTCTCTCTCTCTCTCTCTCTCTCTCTATATATATATATATATATTTTTTTTTTTTTTCTTTTTTAAAGAAGAGCAATTTCATTGCTGGCCATGGTGGAACAAACCTGTAAGCATAACTACTCAGGAGGCTGAAGCAGGACTGAAAGTTCAAGACCAGCTTGTATAAAATAAAAAAGGCTGGGGATATGGCTCAGTGGTAGAATGCTTGCCTAGAATGAATGAAGTCCTGGATTCCATCCCCAATACGGCAAAAAGAAAAAAAGAAAAAGCAATTTCATCACAATTGCTCTTTTCTAAATAATAATAAATAACAATTGAGAACTTTAACTATATTCTAAGCACTGTTTTAAATATTTTTAGAGTCATGCACTGCATAAGGATGTTTTGATCGATGGTAGAGTACACATAAAATGATGGTTCCTTAAAATTATAGTGGAGCTGAAAAGTTCTGGTCATCTAGTATTTTACCATATCTTTTCTATGATTAGGCACACAAATATTTACCATTGCATTATGACTGCCTACAATATGAAGTACGGTAACATACTGTACAAGTCTGTAGCCTRGGATACACATAGGTTACTCATAAAGCCTAGGTGTGTAGTAAGTCACATCTCTGGGTTTGTGTAAGTATGCTCCATGATGTTTGTACCATGAGGAAATAGTCTAATGATGCATTTTCCAGAATGTGTCCTTGTCATTCATGGATGGAATCTTTCCCAATTCTCATAACAACCTATGAAGTTGGTGTTATTTTAATCTTAACAAATATGTCCCTTCTCCAAGCCAGTGCAGCTCAGGGCTGGGCAAGAAGGCCCCAGTTTCTGTTATAGCTTCCAGGAAGGAGAAGAGCAGAGCATACTGCAGGACTTATACTTTCAGACCAAAACATATTAACAATACAGAATAGTATGGTACTGTCATAAAGACATCTATGTCAAAAGAACAGAACAGAGGGCCCCAAATAAACCCATACGTCTACAGTCAAATGATTGTTGACAAAAGTGTCAGGACTATCCAATGGGGAAAAGACAAATGGTGCTGGGAAAACAGGATGTTTACATGCAAAAGAATCATGTTGGACTTTTATCTTTCACCATACACAAAAACTAAGTAAAATGGATTAAAGAAATATAAGATTTATAACTATAAAACTCCTAGAAGTAAACTTGGAAAAGCCGTAGAACTCCAGCATTGGCAATGATTTCTCAGATATAACCCTCAAAGCAGAGGCAAGAATGGACAAGGATTGGAACAAACTAAAAAACTTCTGCACAGCAGAGGAAACCACCCAGAGAGTGAAAAGGCCCCTATGGAATGAATCATTTTTCTTTCTTTTTTTGGTGTGAGGCTTTTCACACATGCTAAGTACGTGCTCTACCATTGTRGCACATCCCCAGTCCAGAAATTGGAGAAAATATTTGCAAACCATACATCTGATAAGGGGTTAATAGCCAAAATATATAGAAGAACCCCAACTGGGGCTGGGGTTGTGGCTCAGTGGTAGAGTGCTCGCCTAGCACAGG